TCGTTACTCGGCGACCACTAGCCTGCTTGATGTTGACACGACAACGTAACTTTCGAGAACTAGTGTTGATTAGGCCTCAAAATAATTAAATAAAAATCCAAATACACTTAATAGTTGAATAAAAAGTCAAACTCATTTCTCAAACCATTCATAAGAAATATACAAACTGTGCAAAGTATTTTTAAAACATTTTTATTATCTCCCTCTTGCCACTAGGGGGTACTGCAGCACCCCCACTTCCAGCAGCCGTGCTGCAATACCATACAAACTTTTCTTAGATGCACTTTTTTCCGTCTGAGGATAATCACAGAGTGGCTACCAGGCGCTGACATTTAGACCAAAGTTATCATCAGTCTCTGGTTCCCAGGGCAGCTATGGAGGATGGGTCCTACCGTAAGCAGGGCTCTCACTGTGTTTTTAGCTTTTCATGCATGCATTGACCTTTTGACCCGGCTCTTTCCACACTAATTATTGTCTCTGCCTTCCACTGCTGACCTTTCTGTTCTGTTGTTTGGACTTTCACAGGACTGATCTTCAGGACCAAATTGCAGCTGTTGTTGATGAGCTTGGGAGAGCCTCAGCAAAGGTGAGGTTTGTCCATTTTGACTGGAAGTTTCAACCATTGACTATCAATGACAGAAATGTACTTTAAAAAGCAATATACATGTACATATACACGTAAACAGAGTTTTATGGGGCCTCCAGGAACTTGGGGCACTAAGCAACTAATGGTAAATCCCCCCATGAGAGAGATAGAACCAAACACTGGACTGACAGGACCAAGTGGATCTTTTATTCCATTTAGGACCATGTTAAGACTGACGGAATCAGGCTGGACAGACCTACGAAGAAGAGAAAGAAAACAGAGTTCAGGTCATCAGAACAAACATACTCAGGCCCTGCAGTGTAATCCATGCATCCACCTTCATCCAGCCTGAAGTCAGCAGCATGTTCAAGTCCCAGACAGGCTGCCTGACTGTTGATGAACACTAGGAGAGCCAAGGGAAACCAAAGAAAAGGCGCTTTGTGCAGTCAGTGTTCTTAATTAGAATAAATGACATGTTGGTCTAGTTAGTCAGCGCTATTTAATATAATGCTCATTTTATAGATGATAAAAAAGTGTAAAATGCTGGTGAAGATTCTCAGTCATCCAGGTCAGAGTCATTCCAAAAAAGTTAAAAATCAATCCACTGGACTTTGTTTCCAAGTTTGAAGACGTTTCTCTTCTATCCAGGAAACTTTTTATATTCAAAATGTCAGAAATAGCGTTGAGTTCCAGGTTTTATCCAGCAGCCCAACAAAGCCTGGTTTTAGTTTAGAAAACATGCAAATAGAAACACATGAATGGGTCCACCCCTTTGGAATGGGGGTCGTTAAAGGGAATTGTTGGCCTGGATAAACAGGCGAGGTCTTCTGTTCTCCTGTAAAGGGGTTGGGGCTGCGATGATAGCGGGAAGGAATCAACTCTATCGCTGCATTGTAGGTTTCTGAAAGATGAACTCTGAGGCCCCCCCCCCCTCTGGTTAAGGTTGGTTTTTCTTTCTTAAAGGAATAGTACACCCAAAACATGATTAGCCTTCATTTTCTACTCACCCCCATGCTGAACAA